AACAGTTAACAAAGCTCTTCTGCTTCCCTGGTGCTGACAAACTTCTTTCTGCAGCTTTGTGATTCATCCTCTGTGCTCTCACTGTTTTCAAACTACGGGATGAGTAAAGTTAACAGCGAGGAATCTTCTAGTGGCCATAAATTGTTGAAGGAGGTCGAGACAATTGGCGAAGCTCTTTACGTGAACAAGAATCCCAGGGGCTCGGTCGCTGGTCCTAGCAACACTCCAACAAAACCGTTGGGTCGTACCCACTTGACTGAGCCTCAGAAGGAAAAGAAATCATTTTGGAATTGGCCCCTCAGAGCCCTTTCTCATGTCAGAAACCGCCGATTCAATTGTTGTTTTTCTGCCCAAGTCCATTCTATTGAAGGGTTACCCCCGATATTCCAGGATCTTTATCTCACTGTGCACTGGAAACGTCGTGATGAATCTTTAAGCACTCGTCCTGCAAAAGTTTTGAATGGAAGAGCTGATTTTAAGGACAAGCTGACACATACATGCTCGGTTTATGGAAGCAGAAGTGGACCGCATCACTCAGCTAAGTATGAAGCTAAGCATTTTTTGTTGTATGCCTCTCTGGTTGGATCTCCTGAGATTGATCTGGGAAAACATCGAATGGATCTCACAAGATTGCTTCCTCTCACACTTGAGGAATTGCAGGATGAGAAAAGCTCTGGTAAGTGGTCAACAACATTTCAGTTGACTGGTAAAGCTAATGGTGCTACTCTGAGCATGAGTTTTGGGTACACTGTTGTTGGGGACACTCGTAATCCTGCTTCTTCAGGTAGCATTCAAAATTTTCGCAGTGCTTCAAATGTAAAACAAACTAGTTATAACACAGGGTTGACAAGAACAACCAATGCAAAATCTAGTCTAGGGAATGGCAAGTCTGTGTCTCGGCGTTACGATCAGGGTATTGTTAACAAAGACTCTCATCGGTTGTCCCAGAATGTGGAGGAAATCAAAGATCTTCATGAAATTTTACCTAATGCACAATCTGACCTGGTCAGTTCTGTAAACATTCTGTATAAAAAACTCGATGAGGAGAAGGTGGATCCAGCAGCTGAGTCTCAGTTTGAATTTGACGTTGTCACTAAGGTGGATCCAGCAGCTGAGTCTCAGTTTGAATTTGACGTTGTCACTAAACACATGGAACCTGTTGAGTCAATTTCTCGTGAAAAAGAAGATGCAAATGCACATCACATCGAGGAGCCTTTGGTAAACGGGAATGAAACTGATGTTCCTGTTGAGGAAATTAAGAAAGCTGGCGAAGTTCCTCCTGCTGAAAGTGAGGAAGTTGGTACTAAAACTTTGCCTCCAGAAGAGTCGTTGGTAAACCGGAATGAAAGTAATGTTCCTTTTGAGGAATTAAAGAAAGCTAGTGAAGTTCCTATTGCTGGAAGTGAGGAAGTTGTTGAAATTGGTACAGAAAATTTGCCTCCAGAAGAGGAGAACAGAGCTTCTTCAAAGGACGAGGAAAGTGTTGTTCCTCAGGATGATGAAGGCGCAATGACCGGTGAGAGAGACTTGAAAGAAATGATAATGAAAGATCTTGAATCAGCGTTGAAAAGTGTAGAAATGTTGGAAGCAACGGCTTCAGAAGACGAGGAAGATCAAGAAAACCATGGAGACGCAGAAACATGTTTGATAACACCAATTAAGGAAGCAGCAGCATCAAGTTCTAGAGATGTGGCTGAATCTGTTGCAAGTGAGTTCTTAGACATGCTAGGTATTGAACACAGCCCATTTGGTCTAAGTTCTGAGAGTGAACCTGAGTCCCCAAGGGAGCGCCTGTTAAGAGAGTTTGAAATGGAAACTCTAGCGGCTGGTTCTTTATTTGATTTTAGTATTGAAGCTGATGATCCCCAAATGGAATGTGATGAAAACTTTTCGCAAGAGTATGAATCAGATAATGAAGAAGGTTTTGATCTGGCATCCCTTGTTCATGATATTGAAGAAGAATACCAGTTGGAAGCTCAAGCAAGAGTTAGCAACCCCAGGGCCAAAATGTTGGAAGGCTTGGAAACGGAATCTCTGATGCGTGAATGGGGTATGAATGAAAACACATTTCAGAACTCTCCGCCTCACAATGGTCATAATGCTTTTCATCCAGCTGATTTTCCAGCGAAGGAGCCAATTAATTTGCCTCCTCTTGGAGATGGCCTGGGTCCAGTTGTGCAGACAAAGAATGGAGGGTTCTTGCGGTCAATGAATCCCTTACTGTTCAGGAACTCTAAAGCTGGAGGTAGCTTGATCATGCAAGTGTCAACACCAGTGGTGGTGCCTGCTGAGATGGGCTCTGATATCATGGAGATACTTCAGAATCTAGCTACTGCTGGAATTGAGAAGCTCTCGATGCAGGCAAATAAAGTAATGCCTTTGGACGATATAACAGGGAAAACCATGGAAGAGGTGTTGTGGGAAACTTCACCTGCAATTGTCGGCGGGGACAGGTTTGCATCAATCATATCATCACCTTTTTTTTATTTGTGGAAAGGTTTTACTTTAAAATTGTGCTTAAAACAGCTTTTCTTACAAGTTGTATTTGGCTTATCTTCTCAACGCAGGGATCATAGATCAGAGCATGAATTTGATGATACAGATGGTTTTGTGAGGGGAGCTGAAGGACGAGCATCATTTGCAGCTAAGCCAAAAATGTTTGGTTCAAGCTCTGGCAACAATAACTTGGACTCAGAATATGTATCGCTTGAAGATCTTGCTCCTTTGGCTATGGATCAGATTGAAGCACTTTCTTTGGAAGGATTGAGAATACAATCAGGAATGTCAGATGAGGATGCACCCTCAGACATCACTGCACAGTCTATTGGAGATATCTCAGCCTTCCAGGGGAAAAGTGGGTGTATTGGTCTAGAAGGAGCCGCTGGGCTACAACTTCTGGACATAAAAGATGATGGGGACGACGATGATGACGGTTTAATGGGTCTCTCCTTGACGCTTGATGAGTGGATGAAGTTGGATTCAGGGGACATTGGTGATGAAGACGAAATAAATGAGCGGACTTCAAAAATTCTGGCTGCTCACCATGCAAACCCACTAAACTTTATCCGTAAAGGATCAAAAGGGGAGAAAAGAAAGGGTAAAAAAGGAAGGAAATGTGGTTTACTGGGGAATAACTTCACCGTAGCACTAATGGTGCAACTCCGAGACCCGTTAAGGAACTATGAGCCGGTAGGAGCTCCTATGCTTTCTCTTATCCAAGTTGAGAGATTGTTTGTCCCTCCAAAGCCCATAATCTACAGGACAGTTTCAGAGCTAAGGAAAACCAATGAAGAGGGGGAGGAAGCCGAGGCGAGTGATGCAGTCAAAGAAGAGAAACCCACAGAGGAACAAGGAATCCCTCAGTACAAAATCTCAGAGGTACATCTTACCGGTATGAAGAGCGAGACGGATAAGAAGCCATGGGGAATCACAACTCAGAAGCAGCAGGTGCAGTCTGGTTCGAGATGGTTGATGGCTAACGGAATGGGGAAAGGGAACAATAAACTTCCTCTTATCAAACCAAAGTCGGCTTCTACAAAACCTGGGGATAAGTTGTGGAGTGTCTCTGGTTCTGGGTCTAAATGGAAAGAGCTTGGGAAAATGGGAAAGTTTAACACACCAATGCGAATTTGAATGTGATAATGCCAAAATGAATCCGAACAAGGAAAACAAGAACTAGCCTGTGCGTCTGCTTTGTGTGTTTTGATGTTTAGGAAAGGTGAATTGCGTAGATTCACTTCAGTGTTGCATCTGTTTTGATGTGTGTGTAGTTTTAGGTTTTGCGGATCGAACTAATCGCTGTTTGTGGTACAGTTAAGAGATCAATGAAACAAATAACGAACAAACAAGGTCCATGATTTGTTTGAAACGAATCGACTTTTATCTTTGGTTTCTCATGAGTTAACACAATTCATGGTGATAAGCAGAGGTTCACTGTATTTGAAAGATGAAATGTAGAAACTAAACAGAGAGAGAAGCATCGTAGACATCTGCAATGTATTGCTTATTACTTGCTAAAATTTAACCGAAATGAAATATGAAACATTTTAAAGAACAAACAAACATTGAAAAAAAAAAAAACTAAACTCGAATCAAGAAAACACATAAACACACGAAAAAAGGACATTGAGGAAGCTTAATTAGTTCCTCCAAGCACACCCTTAAGCTTCTTAACCTCTTCATCACTGAGGAAAGTAGTGGCTTCAACGAGTTCCGAAGGCAAATCATTTGCAAAAAGAGCAAACGGTAGGATCTGGAGCCCCGGAAAAGAGCTTCCGAAGGCGACGAAGGCCAAGGCAGGGCCTTTCCCGGAATTAAGCTGGAAATGAAGAAGCCCTTGAGGAAAAACCATAGAATCGCCTCTGTTGAGAGTCTTCAAGTAAACTTTGTTAGCCGAGGATATGAATCCGGCGCAAATTGTGCCTTGTATGACTACAAGAGCCTCAGAAGCACCAGGATGAGTGTGAAGAGGGATGACACCACCACCGGCTAAGTCAAGACGAGCCAAAGAGACGCCAAGTCCATTGGTGCCTGCAAAACCGGGTGCAGTGGCTGGCGTCACTGCGGCTTTAATGATGTTACTAGTGTTTCCGGCTTTAGCGAGGCCGGAAAATGCAAAGTCATTCTCGGTGACTTGTTCAGGGTCCTTGCAAGAGTATCCTGATGGGCTTTGAGGACCCTTTGGATCAGCTACACAAAAGTCTTGAACGGAAGCAAAAGAGATGGATGATAGCAAGGAGATGATGAAGAAAATATGGATTATCATTTTCATTTTTCTTTTTGCAGATCTATAGACAAGAGTCTTGAGGCTATGAGACAGAAAGAGAAGCCGTCTAGGTTTATATAGAGGCTTATAAGATATTGATAGGGTTAACGTGAGGATGGTTTTGAAGCAAGCCAAAGAGGATCTTCTTTTTAGCATTGCATGCATGTGATCTTTGGGTGTACGTACGTGAGATAAAACCCCACATGGTTGTGATGGGGTTTCATGTCAGAGATTTTTGTCGGTTTGGAGAATGGTCATAAATCATTCGTTTTCAGTTAGCAAAATCTTTTTAAGAGAGTTTTATTCAGTTGGCAGAAGTGTAAACTGTTAATCTGTTTCATGCAGAGTATAATTATATACCAGGACTGTCAAAATATCCAAATGGTGAATTGGTACAAGATTCGAAGAAATTTCTGTTTTTTTTTCTCATTGCAACATCAAATATACGTACGTTGAGACAAAATTTGCACCGAATCTCCAAAATTTGAGACAGTTTATTTAATTTTTTTCTGTTAGTTACAACTTACAACATATACATTACTTCTTTGTATTTTCCTTACACGTTCTCCTACCTAGGAACTCCAAGAAATCAAAACCTTTTTCATCGCAATGTACCTTCGATTGAGACCTAAAATCCATTAGAAGAGACACATTTGTCATTTTATCATATTGTCAATATTTTTTTTATAAAGTCTTCACAAAATCCTAAACCTAAGTAAAGTGTGAATCGATCATTACTCACGACTGAAAGAGTTGAATTAAGCATTGGACTCCGTTTGGTTCTACATGTTCGAATATTATTTGAGATATCCAATAAAATCGGAATGATACTGAATTTTACATAATAATTTAGTAAGCTTTCGATTCTATAGTAACTAATCTGGATGTTACAATTACAACATATGTATGCTTTAATTTATCTTTAGAGATACATAAAAAAAAAAAATCTCACTAAGTTCAAACAAGTAAATGTACGACGTATTAAGGATTCGAAGCTTGAACGGTAAAAAAACGATTAGAAGCTTATAATGGTCTTTTAAAGAAATAAAAAATATGTCTTTTATTTTCTTATGGGATATTTTTGTAAAGAAGATATGAAAAAGTTAGAAAGGAATGGAGAAGAATCGAGATTGGTGTGGACCAGTAGAGTAAAGAGCAAACATGTCTCTTCTCTAATTTGGACTTCTCTGCACAGTTTCTTATCCTCTCATCTCATCAACTTTCAAATTGTGTGGCTCTTCAACGTTCCCTCTTGCGCATGGCATTACTATCTTCTTCTGTTTTTTTATGGGCTTTGTGATTTTATGTACTGTAACCTAGTAGGTTACTAGCACTCCTGACATATCATAACCCATCTTCTAATCCGGTTATGTGCGTATATGAGTCGTAAACCGAAAAATAAACTCGGAGTTGTAACCTAGTGTTGCGGCCATGTAGATGTAGTGTGTGAGATGTAAACGGTCAAAATTTCTTTTCATTTTTTATCTTTTACACACCGGTAAAAACTTGACTTCTTACTACTATTATAGTATTACTATTATCAATGCCTTTGTGTCTTGTTTTAAATGATTATGAAACCAAAACTTGGTTCATGCATGGTTATGCTTGAATTTGGTAACATGGAAATGGGCCTTACATATTTTATAAAAGGTATGTTAAGCCCAATAAGACCAAATAAGCCTATAACTTAGAAGCCCACAAAGAAAGCACATGCATATGAAAAACAAGTCTAATATTTGGAATTTACTTAGTTTAATCTAAACATTAAGATATGGACTTGTGGACTTTTTTTATTCACCAGGACAATAACAATTGTAATAACATGAAAGATACAAATATCTTTTCTTTGAGGACTTTAGGTTAATCTAAATATTTTGTTTTGGTCGTAATCTAAATATTTGAAGATATAGATTTGTGGAGTTTTTAATTCACTAGGGAAAATAAGAAGAAATTGTGATAATATGAATGATATATATGGAGTCGACAACAAGCGAAGAGTGTCAGAAGAGGAGCTAAGTATATAATTCACATAATGCATCGAGCTATATGATAAATCTTGACAAGTTGCATTTAATAATTTTCGAGCACTTTTGTTTGCAGACAGGTCCACACCTCTCCATCTCTGACACTTTTTGTACCCAAAATTTTTCTCTACTTTGATTTTCGACCCTTATTTTTTTCTTCTTGACATAGACAACACCTCAGTCTTTAATGGGACCTCTAGATACAATAAAACTAATAAAGACAACAAGAAGAAGAAAAAAGTAGAAAAGACTTTCGCTTTCTGACTTTCTGATCCTTAGTTGGATCCGTACTGTACATACCCTGAAACCCTTGATCAATTATTACACGAACCTATCTATACGAATTATTATTTTTACACCATGAATCTAATTCTTTTTACCTCTGCTGAATCATTCTCTCTGACTTCTTTTAACAAAACAAAAAAAGAATACTATAGTTTAGCAATTAAATACGAAATATCTCTTAGAGATCATATGGAAATCCATCGGACAATAAAACAATGAATGTTATGTCGGATCTCTGTTATAGATGTTTCGTCAATTTTGTATCTAGTTGTGTCCTACGAATGTTGTTATATTAGTTATCAATAATTTTGGTACTCAGTTTCGATTGATTTCAGATCGGTATCCAGAGCATAACCGATTTGGTTTGAAAGTTGTTAAGAAAAGTAGAGAGACTTTATTTTATTTTTGGGTTCAATGATATGC